TGTCATGGTTTTATGATTTTTGGTTATTGGTGCACTTCATGATGTTACATAAAACCATGACATCTCGCTACTATAGGAAGAAATGGATTTTTGATTACTAACCGTGACCTCTTTTTCTCTTTTAATGCGAATTGAAGCACGGGAGCTTTCTGTCCTCCCGCACCGCGCCGTGAGCGGTGTGAGCTCCCCGAGCCCCGCGCTCCCCGTTTCGAAGTTTCCGGACCAAAAAAAAAAAAAAATCTGCACAAAGCAAACGAACAGAACCACCACCTCGGCAAGGTTTGGTTTCCATTAGCCACCGCTCCAGAAGCGGCCGGCAGTGCTGCCGCCGGGCCGGGCCGGGCCGGGTCCACGCTCGCCCCGCGCGGCTCCTCCCGACGGCCGCCCGCGCCGCCCGCAGCGGGACCGCCGAACCCTCGTCCGCGAGCGCTTTTCTCGCCTCCCGGAGTCTCCCCGTCCTCCCCGCGTCTCCCGTAGACCGCGGCGTTCGGGGACGCCGCAGACCTGAGGGCGGCTCTGCGCAGCACCATCGCGGCCGCCGCGCGCCTGGGCTCGGAGCGCCGGCCCGCGGGGCGCTACCTCGAAGCGCGGAGGTCCCGGGCCGCGGCGGCCGGCGGGAGGCGGCGGGACGACCCCGGGTAGTCTGGGCGGGGCCGGGCGGCCGTGGCCCCCGTGGGATCCCGGCTCCCCTTTCGGCAGCCGGGACTCGAGCCCCGCGCCGTTTCTCGGGGCCGGGGCCTGGCCGGGTCGTCCCGCCGTCCGCGCTCTGCTCGGCCCGGCGCCATCCCCTTCCCCTTCGCACAGCGCCATCGCGCGGGCGCCGGCGCAGCGCCGCTCGCCCTTGGCTGCCTCCCGCCCGAGGCCCCTCGTCGCGGCCGGGCAGGACGAGCAGCACCTGCTGCGGGAGCGGCCGCACCCCCCCCGGGCTGAGCCGGGCCCCGCTGCCTAGGGCCCGGTGGCGTCGCGCCGCTCCGCCTCGCCGCCGTCGAAGTTATCCCGGCTAGGCGGTGTGCGGGCCCCGAGCTCTCGCTCGGCTCCTCGGCGGCAGCCCCGCGCCGAGCCTCGCTACCAGGGCCGCGCCGCGGTTCCGCCACCGCCGGGCCGGGCCGCGGAGCCGAGGAGAAGGCTCGCTTGGATTCGGGACGGGTCCCTCGGCACCCCGCGGGGTCAGCCCCGGCTTCGGCCCTCGCCGCTGGCCTCCGCATCGCCGCTTCCCGCCTCTTCTTTCCGAGCGGAGCGGCAGCCCGCGAGCCTCGAGGCTCGGCCACGCGGCTCCCGACGCCGCTCTTTTCGCACTGCGGGTTCGCGCCGTGCCCGTCAGAAAAGAAAAACCGAACCAAAAGCGGCTTTAAGGCGCCCGAGCTGCAACTCGGTGATTTTGGAAGGGTAACGTCTCTGCAGACCGTACCCTCGTTTTCATCCTTCCCCTCGGAGACGCTAACGCTGGTAACGCGGCGAAGGGGCCGCGTACCCTTCGTCAAGGAATTCCCGCGTCAAGGAATTCTCCCGGCAGCCGCACAACGGGGGCACGGCGCGGCCCCGCCGCCGCCCCTCCCGGCTCCAGCCTCTGTCCGCGCCCGATCGCGGCTCGCCCCTCATGCACGTGGCCGTACTCGGGCCTCTCCGCCGTATGCCCGCTCGGCAACCCCCTCACCCTCGCCGGCGTGCGTGGCTCTGCAGCTTTGTACGGATTTTCCAAAATAAATCTCTTTCTGTATTTTAAACCGTCGGGAGCGGGCGGCGCGGACCCGAGCCCTGCGGCTGTTCTCGGAACGAGCGCTCCCGGCCAGAAACGAAGAGAGGGCTCCGCTGCCTCCGTTGCGAGTGCGGCGCCTTGCCCAGCCCCGGGAACGAACGAACGAACGAACCGGAGCCGCCCCGGCCCCGAACGCTACCGACCCCCGCCTGCCGCCGAGT